ATATGGCAAGTGTATCTGGACATTGCCATTTGCATTTTTCTCAGAAGTACTTAAAGAATTAAAAGAGTTAGGGAAGAAACTATTGGATTTTTCTGTTAACAGAAGTGTGTTACATTCCTATAGTCTCAGGCCACACTTCTTCAAAATCTAAAGCATAAATGGGATAAGGAAGTTGGCTGTTGGTGCACTCTCCTTGGTTGTGAAGGCGAGCACAGTGACGGTAGCCAATGTCTTTTGCCTAGATCATTACAATTAGTCTCTACATTACTGCAGCCACATGCAGTGCATGTTCTCTTGTGTACAGCTCCATCCAGTGGATTCTGCTACCACAAAGACTCCTTTTGGTCTGTGGTTCTAAAGGACTCTTGAGTTACCCTTTCCACTTCCCCTCAGTTCAAATATGAAGGTCATCAGTTTGGAACTTGCTAGTGTTCACATATGTGACATGCCTTTGAAATGGAAATTTAAGGCTCACTTAAGTACTAATTTGATTTGAAATCTGACTGAAGCTTTGTTTTTGTCTTTTCTTAGGTTTGGTGTGGTGGACTTGCTTTGAGTACTGGGATGCAGGTTCCAAGTGCTGTGAGAACGCTTCAGAAAAGTGAAAATGGAATGACTGGTTCAGCTAGCAGCCTAAACATTGTTACTCAGTAATGCCTACTCAGAATATGTTTATCGCCCTCCACCTTTTGATTGGGTGGCCTAATCACAGAAACTGAAGAGTGGTGGAAATGAGATTTGCTACGTTCTGCTTTAAGGCCTGGAATCTCTTAGCATTAAGCATCCACAACAAAGTATTCACAGGAACCTACTGTGCATTAGCATGGTAGCAAGCAGATATCAAGCAAGAAACTGAGATTTTGAAGAGCACATGGGGAGAGAGTCAGTGTTTAAATAATTATATACTTTGACTTTTCTAATGTTCAGTTACATACAGTAGCCCTGAGGCCTGAAGCAAAAGCATTTAAATCTTCTTTCTTCCATGTTTTCTCCCCCCACCCTCCACTCCCGTCACCACCAATTATTTAGTTGTTACACTGAAGCTTTAAAAATATACAGTCCTCTGAGGTTTTCTAAGAATTGGTTGGGGATGCTAGACAGGTCTTCTTACAATGGTTTATTTCCCCCCTTTCATAAGTAAGTTAAGTTTTGCTAAATTATCCTCTTTTGTGTTATTGACTAGGTTGTATATCATTTTCTCTTTTCCAAATATTGTGGTCTTTCTCTTGTGGTTATAAGTCAAAATAGAGAGTGGATAGGAAGAGTTTCTAGACATCATAGCTTAAAATCACCCAAATTGCAGTTTTTTACTTGCTGCACTAGCATTGGCAAAGTGATACTCTTTATACGTTGCCCTTTTTAAGTGGACTTCTTTTCATTCCATCATTTTGGATGATGGGTAAGATTTTTAAAAGCTTTATATTTTGGTTTTGTTGTCTAGTTTAGTACTACCTTTAATAGTTATCTTTGGTAAAATTCCCCCTTGAACTTGGTAATAACTGATAATACTTATACTGATACTTAACATTTCTAGTAGGAATGAAAGTTTATTGAAGTTGTATAGGAGGTAGGAAAACCTACACTGTTTAAGTTTTATCTAATAAGAATAAGGCTATTAAGGGAGATGCCTAAAACTATTCTTTACTGAAGTCATTTATATCTGCTTTTTAATAAGACAGAATGGTTTAAACAGTTGTTTGAAAAAATATATACATATCTCTGACTTATTAGGCACATGAGTTTTTCAGTCATATTTAGAGGTTTTCTCTCAGTCCTTTTGCTACATTCATTTGCTTTCTAAAGGGGTGTGATTCTTCTGAAAATGTCAACATAGAATAATCTTTACCAAAGTTAGGGAAAATGTGTTAACAATGAGGAAAACCGATGGTGATTGACAACATATTTATTTTTTAAAAGTTGATAAAATTTGTAAAACAATCCTTTGAACCAAAATGAGAGTTGTAATTACAGTGGTATTTAAGAATTCCTTGGCTGTTTTTAAAGAGGTCTAAGTTTTTATATTCCTTAATTTTTGAAACTTTTACTTTCTGATTTTGACTTTCATTCTCCTTTTAAGTATATTGTGCTTGACAACCTTCTTCTAAGAAATAACTGATGCTGCTTACATTGGAGTTGCTTTCTACAGAAAGGCCCGTGGAATAGGAAGAGCTCATTCTTTCTTAAAGTTTACTGTTTACTGATAGGATGTTTTATTCATTTTAATACAAATCTAAATGAGGAATTTTATTTGAACTGATATTTTCCCAGAGGACTGTCATAACTGCACCACTGATGACATACTGGTATTTTAAAGACTATAAGGGAGTTTAGAGAATGAAATATGTCAATAGATATATTTGATTCTCCAGATATAATTTTGTTTCTTGCTCCTCCTGGGGATTTTCAATGACTTTTTTGGATGTTCTGTTCCCTACAGCATGGTTATTCCAGGTCCTAAGGAAGCGGGAAGTTACAGTTTTTTCATAGAGTCACACCTGAAAGCAGTAATTTAGTGGAGGAGCTGCTTCATGTGAACGGTTGTACCTGTATATTTTGGAAAAATGACACAGAAAAAGCCAGAAATGCTTGTATAAATTTTTTACGATTATGTCTTATATAATTGTGTCTTCTCTTTAATTCAGTGCCTTCTTCCAGTCAGCATGCTCTTCTTGCTTCGCGCTCCATGCCCCAGGCAGTGTCAACTGGTACTTAAGCCAGAGACCATTATGTACTATATCGGCGAGGGCCTTCTATTGCAGGGGCATGGGGAAAAGGAAATACTAATCAGGGTCTGGTGGAGTGTATAGGATTCCTGCCTGTGCTCATGCTAGCATTCGAACCTTGCGTATAACATTTTCTAATATTCATTTGGAAAATTCATTGGAAGTAATACTATTATTACTTCAAAATAATAATCTGAGGTTTTCCTGTTACTGTACTTCTTAAAGGTCTCTAAAATTAAAGAGCAAAATGTGTGGGGTTTTAGTTTAGTTGTTTTAAGTTTATTTGCGTTAAGTTAAACTGGAGAGTTTGCAGCCTTCATTTTCAAACTAGAAAATAATCAACTGTAGTGCCTCTTTAAATAGTCTTAAGTGAAGGTACCTATTAACTTGACTATATATGTAACATTCTCATTGATTTTAAATTTAAAAATATTGAGCTCTTTTGCTCAATTTAATACATTGTGTAAGTTGGTATACCCTTTCAAACATTCTTTATTGGTTTTGTCACTCTTTGACAGGTCAAACATGATTGCTTTCTGTAAAAGAAATGCATGAGAGATTGACAGTAATGGATCTAAAAAATATATGTTTTATAAAAACATGCATTTAGTATTACATTTCTTTTAGCAGTTGAATCCCAGCCAGTTTTAGTAAACTGGATAAAGAAATGAAGGAATTGCCTTAAGCACTTTAGAAAAATAATTTTTTTACAATTCATTTTGATTCTTTGGGCTGACCGTGTCACATACGTCTTTAACTTTTGGTAAATATGTATATACCAAGCATTTAATAACAGTGCACATAGAAATTTAATATACAGTGATTGTTTGAATGTTCCAAGGTGGAAAGTATTAGAGGCATGCCTGTCTGTACATGGGTATAATTGGTGGCATCTGTACCATTTTGACACATAGTGAACTGCTAGTGTACAGCTAGACTTGGCCTGCTTTGCTCTGCAAACAGTAGTATTTCTCATGTTATCATCTAAAGACATGTTGGCTTGGTTTTATTTACTCACTTATGAAATTAGAGCATGAACAGTATGATGTATAATTTGAACTTTTTGGACTGATCCTTGGTGGTATAAACAAAAGTAAATAATTTGTCTTGAAATGTTTTAATTAGGCTAAGATACTCTATTTCATATCTTAGCTAGAATGATTAGTTTTTCTCTATGTACTTTTTCCATAAAATTAGTTATATATTTTTGTTTCTTTTAGAAACAGGTTAAAAATTGGAAAAGGATATTATGGAAATTATTTCAGAGTATTAATTTTAGAAAAGTCCAATGTAGACTTCTTACTACAAAATATGTGGTTCCAGCTAAAAAAAACTGATGATTTTCAAATCATCATAATAATTCTTTTCTAAAAAACCCATATTTGGAAAACCCATTAGATCAGTATTCATTCATTGGCTAATTTATACAACAAATATTTTAAGTGTCTTTGATGTGTCAGTCATACTTTGTATTCAAATTTCCAAAATTAATGAAGTTTGGTTTACTGTGCGTATAATTTTGCTGCTTTTGAGTGGTGTGACAAAGTTTGCATCTTAAAAACAATGTTTTGCTAATAAGTCAGAAATTTTAAAAAGTAAATTTGTTATAGTTTTTTAAAAAATCAAATTTTAATAAGCATATTGCACATAATATGGTTCAGTTTCATATAATCACATAAAATGGGTCTGGAAAAGTTTCTTCCTTGATTTTATTTTTACACTGGATATTCTTTTAGGGAAGTGTATGGTCAGCATAAATTTACTCAACATCCAAGTAACCATAAAATTATTCATTATTTTTAACCAAAATGTACATTTCATAATGCCAGTACTGGAGCATTATAAGAGATCATGAATGTTTCTTTAATCATCACAGAAAGATTACCTCATGTTCAATATAATTTTAGTTTTGTTTGTATTTTACAGTATTCACATTATGCCAATATTTGTGAGCCTGATATGTCACCTATGATAGTTTTTGTTACTTGGAGTATTTGATTAATGTAAATACTTTAAGCTTTTTGAGTAATTTGGTGTTTAAGTGGGTTACATTTAGTATAGGTTGTTATGTTGAAAAGATGATGTTGGACATGCCATATAAAAGTTAGTGTTGGCTTATGAATACCAGAGATAGCCATAGGACTTTCTGCCTCAGACTACATTAAAACAGTATTTGTTATTTCTGGGTCAGTATAAGGTACTGACTTTTGATTCATAACCATTTGAGCTATGTAAGTTTAAACCGATATATTTTCTTAATGGTTCCCATTCAGTATAAGTTGTTCCTTGGGAATGGACATGTAGAGGATTTCACAGTATGTAGGGCAGAAGGGTGGTGGATGTGTTTGCTTTGGCTTGGAGCTTCTTAAGTTTAGACAGATTTTAAAATAAGTCAAAATGTAAGTGTTTGGTAAAAGGCATTTTTATTAGTATTGGAACTTTTTTGGAGAGCCTAAGGACTATGAGAATGCATTTTAAAAAACATTTCTAATATCTAAGGTACCAAAGCACTGAGTCTGATTTACCTCTTAAGGGAGACTCTTTAAAATCAAATTTATAACTAATTCATACTATAAGATATGTAATAGCTAAGGTTTTAGAGTAATTTATATTAAAAAGCACTAGTTTTTAAATGTTCTGGATATATTGTAAAAATGTTTTGGCTTCATTTCTTTTAAAGTATTTACAATTAATCACCTTAGCTCTACCATATATTACTAGATCTATGACCTTTACATACATCATTTATAATCTTTGGGCCTCCATTGCCTTACATAAAATAATTGTAACTTGCTCAGCCTACCTCACAGGGCTGTTGTGAGGAATAAAATGAAACGGAGTATGTGAAATTGCTTCAACAACAGAAAATGCTATATAAATGTAATGTATTCTTTTCACTTAATAATGGATTTCAGTGTTTGGATACTTCTAGATGCCATTTATATTGATAAAACATGTGCTGAAAGTGGTATCACCAGAACTTCAAACATGACTTTAAAAACAATCAAAACCCTGATTAAAATGCCCTTTAACATTCTTTAGTTTGTGCATGACCTGTGTGGCCTTTTTGTGTTTTCTCATCAAACGTGTCATTCTATATCAAGACTTTCTAGAACTGTCACATTTCTCCCACAGCATCAGTGTGTCACTGTAGAATAGTAGCACAAATAAATGATTTAAGCTGTGTTTCCATCCAGGCATTTGCACTTTCAATTTATGACTGCTCAGTGCCACACGCAAAGAATAAATTTGGTCTAAATAATTCTTTCCAAACAACGAAATGGTTATAAAGTTTGTCATTGGATAAATGATATAAGGTGTATGTGCCCATTTAACACTGAACAACTTTTGTTGTATTGTCTTTTTTTTTTTTTAAATATGACTAAGCATTTCAAAACCTTATTAACCTGAATACCATTTAGTATCTCTCATAACATATTTGTCCTGCTTTAAATTGGATTTATGAAGTGGTTTGCAGGTTATCTTGATCTACAGATTATTTGGTACATCTATCATCTGGACATGGTTTTGCTATGCAGTTCTGATAATAAAAATTCTTAATTCCTCAGGTTTAAACTTTAAGTTATGGATGAAGAACATTAATGAACTACTTATACTCAGTGCTGCAAACTAGTGTTTTAATAAGCATATTGCCTCATTTTCCTTGGAAACAAGACAAAGCCTTTTAAATGGTTTTTAACTTTAAAATAGTGTATTCAAAGTGGAGTGACTTGTATGTTGAAATGATTGTATGCTCTGTAGAGAATGACCAAGTTAAATTCTTACAAAAACACTTGGAATATCTCATCTGAAAATTAAACTTTTTTCTGCTTTCTTTTGCTTCAGTGCTTGCATTTTATCACCTCTCATTAAAAAGCTAAAATGTGCTGTTGAGGATGACAAGATAAAGTCATAGGCCCTTCGCCCCAGAAGCTTTTATTTTAGAGCAGTGATATTCAACAGAATTTTATGCACTGATGGAAAGTTCTATCTAGCTGCTGTTTTGTGCACTGCAGCTATAGATAGAAGATCAAACGTTATAAGTAACTGTAACATAAATCAAGGACTTAGTTTGTCTTTGGAGCTTGTCACATCTTGGATTACATTTTGGTGTACTTAGTAGCTAAGAGTCACAACCAGAACCTATGCCTTTTAAAAATTATTTTCTAGATTGAAACTAGTTTAGGAGAAAAAAGAAAACCAATCAGTGACTAGATGAGGCTGGAGCTCCTGTAACTAAGGTCATTTTCACCCAGAGAAGAATGGAGACTGGATAGTTTTGTGTCATAGGGAGAGGAATGTGACAGATACTGAGAAACCAGTACCTCATATAGAAGATGGAGTGTGAATGGGTGCAGTGTTTCTGGAGAATAATTCAGTAGCACGATTTTAAATACATACCTTTGAAAAGTTAATTCCATTTCTAGGTATTTCTCTTACATATATACTCACAAACAAGCCAATACTCAATAAAGCACTATGATAGCAAAATACAAACAATCTAACTGTTAACTGAAGAATGAGCTACCAGAATTCTGAAGGCTCCCCTTTTCTAACTCATTGCTGTAGTAAGCTGCTACCATGGTTATATATTTGTCTAAATATATTCTGCCTGCCCCTCTTCCCGTAAATGTTAGAAATAAAGAGACCATTAAGGGAGTTGGCTTCCTTAATTAGAGCCCTTTCCATGGAATACCAGTCCTGCTGTGCCTGGCTGGATCTCTGGGATAAGAGCTCAGGAAATTGTATGTACTCTACTTACGAAACCCTATTTTACATTTACACTGCATGGTACTAGTAGTATGTTTATGCCCTTTTTGCAGAAGATCACCGGGATGATTATAGATTGTGGTGTTTCCAAGTAACCTTACACAGCTTTTACAGAGTATGCCATTTAATGGAAGGGTACTCCTCAGGAAATGAAAAAAGCAAGTTCAGCTACATATATATGGTATACCATGGGGGGGGGTGCACTTTGACTTGAGCAAGAGGGGTCCCTGCCCTGATGCTCACTCGGGCTGTTCCTCTGTCCAGGAATGAAAAAGTGAAGGAGCCCAGGGATTGCACCCAATTGGAGTCAGCATTCCTCTGCCCGGAATTCCCTGCCCAACCAGCCCAAAGCTTGCTTTCAGAACACGTGCAGGCCTCTTTCCCCAGCTCATCCTGAAGACAGACTGCACTACAGGTGTCTATACCCCTAGACTCAAGGGGTGCCATTGGTGAGGAGTGCGGATGGAAGTTGGACATGCAGACTGGCGTGTCCACATGCATGCATACCAGGACCTTTCTGGCAAGCTGAGGCTGGAAGTAAATGGAGACAGACCCTGGGGCTTGGGGGAACACGCCAATCTAGCTAATTCTTACCTGTAGACACTTAAAATATGCCAGGGTTGGTCTCCATTTGTATTCTTGTTCAAGGCCCCACAGGGTTAAGGTGGGTCGGGACGTGTGCGCCACATCAGTGATTTTTAAAAGATGGATGGTTGCTTATAATAGAGGCTGCTTTTACCCAGCCATACTGACTGGAAACACTGATGGTAGAAGGCTCCCAGCTGGGCTCCCCTCTAGTATACTGGAGAAGGACTGCTTCCACCAGTCATGTTGTATGTTTACCTCTAGTTAGCTGTTTATCCCCAAACCTGTTTAAGTCAATGGCAGTCATTGTAATTATATAATTTAAATATTACATGAACTATGAGTACGAAAAGTTACAAGGAAAGTGGGGGAAACAATACAGATGAAGAGCTAAAAAAATGTTGCTGATAGGTTAGTTGTGTCCAAGATCATTGTAAATGATGGGGAGGATTGCAAAAAATAAAAATCTAGGACTCTGGTCAGATTCCTTTACTTGTATTTTTAAGTTCCAGGTCCACTTTAAAGAAACAAACTAAAAATTATAGATGATGCATTATGCCTGTGGTTTATATAATAAAACTTCCAATCAGTTGATCCTTACTTAAAAAACGCAAATCAAAAGATTGGCCATTGTAATCCTCGGCTTTAACTGCCTTTTTTTTTAGGGTTACAAGATAGGCTATGCATTTAAAAAGTATTCTAGGAATCTGATTATTATTTTCCCCTTTTCATGTTAATTTTTATTATGACAATTTTCTAACATACAGAAAAGTAGAGGCTGTTAATAATGATCACCTTTATTCTCATCACCTAGATTTATCCATTGTTGAAATTTTGCCATGTTTGTGTTATCCATTTTCAATATTTCTAAAAAATTCATCTATAAGTACTGCCATATGCATCAATGATAATTTTCTTTTAAGCACAGCCACACTCAGTTAATATTCTTAGTAAAATTAACAGTGATCCCTTAATATCATCTAATGGCTCAGTCCATATTAAAATTTCAGTTGTCTCAAAAATATCTTTATGGTTGCTTTCTTCAAATGAGGATCCAGACAAGGTCCACACATTGCATTTTGTTGTATGTCTCTTAAGTCGTCCGCACATTGCATTTTGTTATGTTTCTTAATTCTCAGGTTTTGTAGTAGTTCCTTCTCCCCTTTTCAAATGCCATTGATAAAGAAACTAGGGCATTTGTCTTGTGGAATTCTAACTTTAGCTGATTGCTTCTCTATACCTGGCATTAAATCTAGAGTTTTTATTAAATGCAGGTTCAGTCTTTAGGCAAGAATCTTTCACAGGTGGTGCTGTATACTTTGTGTTCCATCACATCAGGAAGTCCATAATGTCTGGTTGTCCCAGATGTAATCAGATTGATCAGTGGGTTCAGGTGGTACCAGCTTAATCCATCTATTAAAAAATTCCCCATCAACATTTCACTTTAATTTTAGCATCTATTGATGAGTGTTGTTCTTTATATTATTTCATGAGGAGTAACAAAATGGTGATTGTTCTATCGTTCATTCTTCATTTATTAGACGGAATTCTCATTTGCATTTTGGTTACGCTGAAATATAGTTCATACAAGAAAGGCAGGATAAATACAGTATTTTCAGTTTGTACTATGGGCTAATAGTAATTTTTGTAGCAAAAACAAAATGATTGTGATTTGTTTAGTGCTTTATAGTTTCCAAAATTCATGTCAAGACGGATTCATATCCGATCCTTAATATTCCTTTGGGTGACACTGTTAAAACTTAAAGAACCAGGTCCGGAATTGTTTGTGTGTATATTTCCAGACCTAAACCGCATTGCAACAGTGCGCTGGAGCTTGGAGGTCATGCAGGCATTTCAGCCTCATGAGCAATATTAAACGCAACCTCTATTTCCCACTCTCCCCCATCTCTCCTGATGGTACCCAAACTGAATTCAGGGAGTTATTCCGAATCCTTCTGCATAGCACACGCACTAAAAAATTATTCGTTGTATATCTGAAATTCACATTTAACTGGCACCCTATATTTTATCTCGCAAACTCACACGCTTTGAGAAACAGCTCAGCTGCTGCCTCCAATTCTTGGTCCATTTCCTAAAATCTCAGGTCGCCTCGGTGCACTGCCGTCGTCGTTATCTAGGCAAGAGATAATAGGGCTGTAGTTTAGTGGTTAGATCGCAAAAGCTAGGAAATCGCCAGGGCTCAGTAAACTTCGGGGGGTGAGGAAGCGACAGGAGTGGACAGGCTGAGGCTGGGGTCAGGACCGTGGGAACGTCTCCGACACCGACCAGTCTAGTATCCTCCGCTCTGCGCTTTACGGCCCCTTTTGCAGCAGTTGCTGTGAGTGCCGTAAAGCAGAGTGGCCGCTGCTGTTGGGTAAGGTAAGGTATGGGGCGCTCAGCTAGCTGGCTGGCGGGGATGGGTAATTGCCTGTGGCTCGAGTGCCCTCACTGGACATCCCCAGCTTTCTGGGCCCCTCCCTCTCCCCCAGCCCCCCGCCCACGGCCGAGACAGGCCACAGGGTGAGTGCGCTCAGGGCAGGGGGGCTACTCAGTGGGTAGACGTCCACTCGGGCAGTCCTTCCCACGCTCCTGCGCGTGTCCGCAAGTAAAATCCTCACCCTGGGACAGGTTCAGTTTTGGAGGGCGATCGAGACCTTGTAGGACCTGGGTTGGGGTAGTAACGTTTGAACAGGTCGTGAGCGCCCTCTCGGGATTTGTGAGAGGATCGGGGGCGGGGGGGCACGGGGAGGGGAGAGGAGAGCCTTGCCATCTGTGGGACCAATGTGTGCAAAGGTACAGAAGTAGGAACGCAACTGCCGGGTTTGGGCAGCACTGCATTTTAGCGGTAACGGCTGGAGGGATGGGTGCGTGAAAGGGAAGGCCAGGAATGTGGCGGGAGCTAACCCTGGGTCTCAACTGGGAAGGACCTTGATGCCGCATGAAAGAATACGTTCTTCCTTGGGCCGTGGGGAGCTAGTTTTATAGAGAGCGGGTAATGTAATTAACCATCACTTTTCTCTTCTGATGCTTTCCTCGTGGGTTCAGCTTTTAGTTTATTTGGAGACGTATTCACTGAAGCCCTCACCTTCTTTGTGTACTTAATGGGGTGGCCATATTAGTTTCATATGGCTTTAAACACCTGCATGTTGTTTGCATTATCAGTTGGGGATGCCAGGAAAGACTGGATGTGTGTCGAGGTGACTGACGGAAGCTTGGGATAGGGACCTGGAGAACTGAGGTTAGATTTCATCACCATCACCAATTTCTCAAGTGACATGCGGCAAATCTCTTCTATCTGGGCCTCAGTTTTCTCAGGTTAAAAAGAGGACCTAGATGATATCAGGTTCTTTCTACTTTTGAAGATAGCAGGTTTCCAAAGAAGAAACGTTAACCTATGAACACATATCAAAGTGAGTCATGGAGCAGAGCGTTGGGAATTGGGGAAAGAGAGAAGCTCAGTAGAAAAAGCTGGGATTGAGCTGTAGTCTGAGGATGGATAGGGTTTCAATAACCCGGAACCATCTCTGTTGAGCACCATGGATAAAGACAGAGAAGTCAGGACTAGGCCTTCATAGTTTAGAGCTTATTTGTGGAGGTAGGTTTTGAGATGCTAGAAGATCTGGGAAGAATGGCACTAGATGTGGAAGGAATCACAAGTGGAAAGAAACTGCAGTATGTTCTAAAAAGGAAGAAAAGAAGTAGAGACATGCCAACAATATACAGACTTGATTTTGTGGATCTAGGTGGTTGATATTTTGAACCTGAGTTTCTGAAAAGTGAATTTAAGTGCTGTTGACAGAAATGAGAATTCTATCAGAATTCCAGCATGCAGTAGTATATTGGGAGTAAGGTGATTCAGATTGGAGCTCTGGTGTTGCCAATAACTAGCCTCTTGGGCTGTCATTTAATTCTTGATCCTTTCCCTGTAAAATGGTGTTGTTGGACTAGGTGGTTTCTCTAAAACCTGTGAAACATGTCTGAGGATGGAGGGAAACAGTTGATGGAGAATAAAATTGGTACTTTTGAACATGTTAAATTTGAGGTGTAGGAAATAGGGTTGGAACTAGAGGCAGATGGAGTTCATAGACTGGAACTTAAAAGAGCAAGTTTTCTGTCAGAGGTGGTAGTTAAAATCTTGAAAATGAATTTGCCTTGAGGTATAGATTATAGAGACAGTAACTATAGGATGTGCTCATCGATAGGAGGCCAGAGCAGTGGTTGAAGGAGACATGGGGATCGCAGAGCTAAGAGCAAGGACTCCTTTTAAAAAAGGATTACATATAGTTATAGAAATTCTTGAGGCCACCGTTCTTATTAAAATCATTTAACAGCATTTACAGCAAATAGTAAGCACCCACGTCTGGGAACATGGCTGAAAAAAAATAATTCAAATAGATATAATCTCCACTGTCTTTCTGATTGTCTGCTCAGAAGTAATATTTACATATTTATTTATTCAAAAAATACATTTTTCAGGCACTCTTGAGTGCTAAGGTTGTAGTGAGCAAGGCAGATGTTGCTCCTATCTTTCCCGATGTAAAGGCCTTAGCATCTAGATCAATGATTTTCAAACTTTAATGTACATAGGAAATCACCTGAGGATCTTGCTGAAATGTAGATTCTGAATCAGTGGGTCTGCAGGGGGGCCTGAAAATTCTGTATTTTGACAAGCTCCAACATGGTGCAGATGTTGCTGGTCTTAGGACCATATTTTTAAGTAGCAGAGATCTAGATCCTGTCTAGCAGATGTGGCAGTTATTAAGCCACTACTATGACTTATCGTCTCTTTTTATTAATAGTTTTATTGTCTATGAAAATAGTATATGCTCATTATTAAAATATTGGGACAGTATAGAAAAGCAAAAAGAACAATGTAAAAATCACCCCAATTCCTACCCCCTGGAGGTAACCATTATTGACATTTTGGTAAACATCCAGATGTTATGTATGTACATATATTCATACTTTATATGTTGTAGAAGGTACTTGATACCCTCTCAGCCCTGCATTTGATTCTGTTAGCTTTATTGTTTTACTAAGATCAATACCCAAATGTCCTCAACCGAGCAATTCTTTTTTTTTATTTTTTTTTTATAAATTTTATTGGGGAACAGTGTGTTTGTCCAGGACCCATCAGCTCCCAGTCAAGTCATTGTTTTCAGTCTAGTTGTGGAGGGCACAGCTCACTGGCGCATGTGGGAATCAAACCGGCAACCCTGTTGCTATGAGCACTGTGCTCTAACCAACTGAGCCAACCAGCCGCCCCAGCCAAGCAATTCTTGAGGGGCAGACTTTACTTAGTTAAAAATAACTTGGTTTAACATCATTCTGTTACTCCAAAAATGGGAACATATTAACATAATTAAAGCTTATAACATGGGGGCTGTAGTAAATGAGTATTTGTCAATTGAGCCATAGAATGAGAGAAGAATTTTAAAAGTTGTTTTTTTAAAACTTATTCTTTTTTTTCCTAAATACAGAATCAACTGATGTTCACCTAGGATAAACAGACAACAAAAATAAAAGCACCTACACTCATCCCAACTCAAAGATAGCCACTGTTCTTACTCTGTTGTGTATGCTAACTCTTAATGATAGCTCTTAAATGAACCCATGATATAACTTATGTAAATAATGTTTGGGTCAAAAGAAATCCTTGGTTCCGCACCTTCCCGCTGCCTTTGAAATAACCATAATCTATTGTTTATATTCTACAGTTCTGAGACAGGGAACAGCAAGCAGGTTGTCCAGTGTCTAGTACATAGGGTTTAGTGAATGTTGAATGAAGGAACAAACCAAAGTGGCCTGTGTGACATAAACTCTGGCTGTCCCTCTTGCCCTGCAGCTGCCCGTGTTCAGCACTCGTCTCAGATACTTTTGTACTCCGCCGGGCGCACAGAGCTCTTCTGGGGCCACAGAGGTCCATCATATGTGTGAAGTTGCCTTTTAAAACCTATGTCTGAGCTTGAATTCTATTGTGGAAGAATATGGAATACTGGGGAATATGGAAACGCATGACAGCCTCCTGTCTCCAGGAACTGTAATGTAAGACTGAGTGCAAAAATAGTACAAATACACAGTGCTGTGGTAATATAAAGGAGGAAGACTTTAATTGTCTTAGAGCAGCGGGAGTTGCTAGTAGACCTTTAAGATGACTATTATTAAGTGTTGCTAGCATTGTATATTTATCATGTTCTAGGTGATATTCAGTGCTTTCTGTGTATATTCATTTGTTCAGTCCTCAGAATAGCCCCGCGAGTCAAGTTCCTTTTATAGATGCATTTTAAAGATGGGGGCATAGAGAGATTAAGTAACCTGCCCAGGGTCATACAGGCTGCAAGTGGCAGAGCAGGATTTGAACACAGCAGTCTGTCTTCAGAGCCTGTACTCTTAACTACTTAATAGACAGTGACAGGGGGAAGGAGGTGGGGAGAGGAAGCATAGTAGATAGAAGGAATACCACAGGTAAAGGCACCAAGGTGAGACAGCTCTGTACGAGTATCAGTGGGTTCATATAGGGGAATAGCGCCAGTTATACCATGGAAGGTCTTAGAGCAGGGAGAGTGACACAAAGTGATACTATAGAAATAATTGGACTTTGGTCCCTGAGATGTGTATTTTGAAGAAAGCCTGGTAGACTTCATGGAGGAAGCTTTCTATCTAGGCGGAGGTAATAAGGCCTTTCTGTTAGGCTAACTATACTGGCAATGGAATGACAGCTTTCAGAGGCCCTGAGAAGAATATGCACAGTCTGGTGACTCACTAGGTGTGGAGTTAGAACCACAAAAAGGATTTTGTTTTCAACATAAATGATTGGTAAAATAGGGGTACCATTAACAGAATAGATGGTCTAGTATGAAAGAAAGCTGGTTTGGAGGTAGACAGTGATTGTTTTAGATGCTAGTGGAATGTTCAAGAGGACATAGCCACTGGTCAGCTGGAATATTTATATGTAATAATTAACTAGTAGATACGGGAAGTGTACCTAATAAAATGATGAAAAGTAAGAGAATGTGAAGAAAGCATCCATTTGTGAACATCTATCCAGATTATTTATTTTTTATTTATTTATTTATTTATTTATTAACTTATAAGATTACCAGTTTATTATGTAAAAGGATATTAAAAGGTACAAATGAACAGCTAGTTGAAGAGGTATATTTGGCAAGGTCCAAAAGGGTCCCAAACATAGGCGCTTCTGTCCCTGGGCAGTTTGGGATGTGCCACCCCCGTCCCCAGCATGTAGATTTGTTCTGGTTCACCAACCTAGAAGCACCCCAGATTTTATAGTAAATGTGTAATAGTAGGCGTATTAAGAAATACCTCTTCTTCGCCCTTTTACTTTGCCCCTGTAATATCAGTTCCCTCCTGTCTTCACGTCTTCTCTTATCTAGGCCTATGATTTCAGACATTCTTTCAAAAACCTCATTACTCCATTGTCATTCAGAAAGGATTCACTATATATTTATGATTTTCCTGAAGCATCAAATGGAGAGACTTAATTTGTTTTATCTTCGGGT